CTGCCCAGCGGTGGGTTCGCTGGTTGGTGTTTGCCTTCGCGCTTTCTCCCTGGGGAGCTTGAACCCCTGAGTTATGTCGAGGCGATTGTTGTTGAGTTCGGGTGGCCTGGTTCACAACCGGCTCGCCTTAGTCGTCTGACGGCCCTGGGCGGATGGCAACTCGGGCAATGAAAGCCCTATGTTTGGTTTTGGTAGCTGAGACAAGTAGTGGACTAACCTCTACTTAAGTGTTGTGATTGAGATAGGTTAGGTCCACACCAAGGTTAAGGAAGAAAGGCACTCATGAAGGTGATGATGATGGTGTGCAAATGTTGATCAAGTTCTCAATTCTTAGAAAAGAAGAAAGAGAGAAACAAAATACAAGGGTTCAAGGCAAATGTATAAGGTAGGGAATTTTATTTTGCCGGCCAAGACGCGATAGAGTGTATGATCAGATTTAGGATAGATAGCCATACTATTAAGAGGGAATTCCAAAGTTCAAAATGGTTATCTAAGTGCCACTAGGTGGATCAATTCATTGCATATTCATTAGACCTAGTGAGGACGCGAAAAACCATTTGAAAAATATTTGTGAAAATGCTAACTCACTTGCACTAATGTTGGAACACATTTGGAGTTAGCACTTTTGGAAAAGGGTTGGAAACTTGAGCTAAAGATGCTCTTGTGTGAGCATTGGACTGAGAGAGGTAGCACCAAACTGGAAGAGGCCGGGTCCAGTAGCTAACCCTAGTTGTGGGCGCCTCTAGGTCACATCGGATCGTGGGGTATGGTCCGATGGTGACGACCAGGGCTGCATCAGACGGTATGTTGACACTATTCATATGCTAGGCCCCACCTATCAGTGCATGGGAAGGATTCAAAGGAGGTACCGGACCATGGCCGTTGGTCCTATGTGTGGCGTCGGCCCAGTCCGATGCAGTTGGGAGCACTCTAGAGCTCTCTGTGTTGCACCGGACCGTGGGAGCCTTTGCTCCGACGACCATCGGACTTAGAGGCAGCGGACTACATGTCATAGTGATCATTGGCGGGCAACAACTAGTTTTAACGTTCAAGCACCACGTGTACGCAGCAGAGGGCATCCGGCGCTGATGGTCCAACGGTGGCACCGGACAGTCTAGTGACCCCAAATTCTGTGCAGTAAAGGTACAACGGCTAGTTTGCCCAAGGGTGTTATAAATAGAGCTTGGTTGGCACTCCAACGCATTATACACCCTTGTGAGCTTGTGCAAACAGCTCCCACTCATCTCTTTGCCTAGTGCTTCATCCAAATTGAGACCGGGAGTGATTCGAGTGCACTTGCATTGAGTTCTTGCATCTAGTGGCAATAGAGATTGATTGAGCTACGATTTTCTCATTACTCTTGATGGTTGCTGCACCTAGGCGGCCTAGAGCAGCGGTGGATCGTTCATTGGCTATTGGTGACTGTTGTCGATGTCGGTCAAGAAATTGTAAGGGGCTCTTTGCTCAACCCTGCAGGAGATTGTGAAGAGCAACTATAGTGAAATCATGGCTAGTTGGAGTGCACTATTTGAGTTGTCCTTGCGATACCCTTGGTGTGTCTAGCTTGTCATGCTAGTTAGCTCGTGAACCATCAAGTGGGGACTCGCCACAACGAGGACGTAAGTCACCAGCAAGCAACTGAACCTCGAGGCTATATCTTGTGTCAGCTCTTGCCCCATTAGTTTGCACACTACACTCTTGCTTTACATTCATATCATGTGCTTCTTAGTGTAGTGTTGTTTGAGTAGCTCACTAGAACAATGGTAGTTATAGTTGTAACTAGTTGTGGTTGCTTTTGTTAGTAGCTCTTGCTAGTTGTAGATAGTTTTGCTAGTTGTAGCTTGTGTGGTGTTGTGACTTAGACTATAAATCAAGCTACTATTATTGTTTAGGGGGCTTGCTTGGAGTGAACTAGAGCTAGTGCAAAGTAGAAGCTACTGGGTCTCATATTGCTAATCTCTTTGCTCTAGTGAATTGTGTTTTGTAGAAATTTTTTATAGGCTATTCACCCCCTCTAGCCATCTAGATCCTATGAAGCTTGATGTGCATGATTTGCATTGTTGCTGCTAGATTCTGGCTTGCAATGTGGATGTACATGAACCTCTTCACCATCAGCCTTTTGTCCAGATCGAGTTGCTCTTCGAGAGCTTGTTGTCTACATCGGAGGTGATCGTTTTTGTCTACTAGTGCATCAAGCTGATGCACAAGTTGATCGCGTATTTTCTCATTGGTATCGTAATGTTCTGTTGCCCCCAACTCCCTTGAAGGAGTCTAGCATGTGATCTTGCTCTACCATTTGTAGTTGTAGTGTGCAGCTCCCTCGGTTGCTCGGAGTCAGCCATATAACATTCCCTCTCAAGGGATAGTCATCCTAATTATGAGTGTCGTCATCATCTAAGATAGCAAACAAAATCGTATGCATCTATCTCAGTGGTTGTCATGTTCTGGATCTCAAAATCCATGTTGATGTCATCATAGTCTTCGAGACTTGCCATTGCGATGAATCTACAGCATCATTGAGATTCCCATCATCATCATGGTGTCCTATATCTTCGTCTTTGAAGCCAATGGTGCGAGCGTCGTGAGACGCGGGCATAGGCTATTGAAGCGTATGCTGGTATGCAGCAGCGACATTCCTCGGGCCGATCGAGAAATCGACAACGATATTGCATGTTAGATCCTTCTATCCTGCATTGGGAGCCCAGTCGATGGATCCCCATAGGAAGTTGATGCCCAGATCAAGGATGTGTTTGCGACCAAAGTTGATGAAGAAGCACTGAGCATGGAGGTCCATGTGACGGGCCAACACGGGTGCACCAGCGGCCACAACATCCTCGAGCTTTGCGTGGAACATCCAGATGGAAGGGGGCTCCTCCTCTACATGACGGGTTCAGGGTCCTATAGGTGTAGGCTCCGAGGCGATCTACGACGAAGTCCAGGCTACCATAGGTGATCTTGTTGCATGTGTGAAGCTTGTCGTAGTTGTCAAAATTGAAGATGATCTCCATATGAAATGCAATGAAAATAGATCTGCGCAAGAAGGCCCCTACATGGTGCATCAACCGTCGGAAGTATGAACCCTGGCAATGAAGATCAGGGATCATGCACACAGAATTTGGTGGGTAGCACATGGGACATAGATTTATATGTGTTTAGGTATGATGTCTCCTACGTCGAGTGGAGAGTATATCTGTTATCTCGTATGCTCAAAGTTTACAAGGGACGTTGATGGCTATGCGAACCTAATTGCCTAGTATGGAGAGAAGTTGTAAGGTACCAAATGGGGGCTCCTTGCCTCACCTTATATAGTGCGGGAGGTAGGGTTACATATTAGTTCACATTCGGTTGATATACAAGTTTTTCTAATCGATTACAGAGAAATCAATCGGATAGAATTAGTTATTCTAGGCATATATCTTGGCATCAAAGTCTCGGCCAGTAACTTATACTCCACATCGATGATGAACCCCACCTGGGTTGGGCCTTATATTCGACTGCCTCGACCCATCCTACCCGTAGTGGGCTTTTCTGTAGGGTTTATATAACCGACACTCCTAGTTGTAGTTCTAGTTTGAAGAATCCTATGAGCTAGCCAAATGAGAAATGTTTTTTAGAAAACATACGTATGAAACGTTTCTACGAAAATCTGAAGCTCTGCCAAACGCTCGAAGTAAAGAATTGTCTCTTCTTTTTCTTTCTAGAAAGAAAATACAAAAATCTCTAGATAAATTAAATGCCACTGAAGATTGGACCAGTAATCCAGCAGTCACTGCAAGTTCCCCGACCAAAGGTAACGTGGTCACCACCGTCCTCGAGATCCTTGTGATAGTATCTGACAGGTTACCCATCATGGACCATGTAACGCGTGGCTGATTCATCCAGTTCTATTGGAAACATTAGTCATGCCAAGTAGCATGCAAAATTTGGTACCATCCCTGGAAAGAATTTGAACCATAAACTTAAACTTGCAAAACTGTACCTTCAATCCAGTAAACTTTTATATATCTATATAGGTGTAACTGCCAGGTAGCTAGCTCCTGCCAGTACACTACTAAAAGCCAAAATCAAAGTACCTTTGTTCAAATCTTGGCGAAAACAAAATGCAACCTCAGAAGCCAGACAGGCTCAGGCAGACACACCAGATCTAGCTAGAAGCTGGAAAATGCCATGAATGCTATACAACTTTGCAGTTGCATGCTGGTGCTATGCTACACTCCTTTTGGAGAGAGGTACTAGTCCTTTTCTCAGTAAAAACAAGCCCAATGCAATAAAGCTCTTGCCAGCTTGTGCCCGCCAACCATCCATAACTGGGCATGGAAACAAGAGAAATTCTGCGAAAGTTTCTTGATGGCATCTCTGGAAGGAGAATGGTGCAGTGTGTTGGGTGAGAATGTGAGATTGGTACATCTGCGCTGCAGCTCATTTTCCAGCTTAGCATGGAATTTGGAAACCGCATAAATGCTGGTCTTGTTTACAGTTGCACCATGAAATTTCCTCATCAAAAAATTTACATGTGACTTACTCAATTATCATTTGTCGTAAGATGCAACCTGTATTTCTAACTCAATTATCATCTGTCAGTATATAGATGAATAAATACAAGGGGACGCAGATCGGAGTACTTGTACAATGATGCACGGTATCTTCTGCAGTACAAGAAGAAAATGGGCCTGTTCGCTGAATTCTGGAGGAATTTGGATGGTTTGGAGGAATGCTGGAGGAATTTGTGAGAGAAAAACACGGTTCCGGATGAAAAAATAAGCGGATCAAGCCGGGTTTAAGGGCACGCGAACGGGGCCAATGATTACGCAATAATGTTCAGTGACAATCAGGTAGCAACAAATTAAAAAAACATTTTGAATTAAGCAGAGGAATAATCGTCACAATATTTGACACCTCTTGCAATATATAAGCCAACACTTTTTACAGTTACAGTCGACACACAACACAGCAAATGAATTTCCAAAACCGAACAACAAATGACTAACACATATATCGACTTATATAGTAATTTCTATATAAAAAACAATTTCAAATAATTTATGTTATACCCTACATATATGATCCCTCCGCCACGCCACGGCCTAGCTATATATACCACATCAAAAGGAAAACTGCAAAGATCTTAAAGCTAAGCAAATTGCTTTTCAAAACCATGTGCAATTTTCAATTCGTGGATACTAGCTATACAGCTGGAGAGGCCCTGGAGAACTTGAATTTCCCTTTGCCCAGTGAGATGAGATGTACACGTTGTGCTACTGATGAATGGAACGAATTGATGAAGAGAGAACACTGCCATTGAAAGCAGGCAACCAAACCCCTCCGTGCTGTCCAACCATGGATGGGCCGGCCTGCTAGCTGTGTGCAATGAATGAAGGGATCTATGGACAGATGGACCGGTACGCTTGCATTGGTGGGAGTGTGATCATCAGTCAGTTGAACTTGGAGCAGACCTTCCTGACCTCTCCCTGCTTGCTCTTGCTGCCGGCGGTGACCACGCCGATGCTGCCCATGCGGACCATGGCGTCCGCGAAGTCCTGCCGGAAGTAGGGCCCGAAGAAGTTGCTGAGCAGGCCGGAGTAGGAGTCGACGACGTCGACGGTGGCCGTGTCGTTGTAGAGCGCCGCGTCGGAGCCGATCACGGCGAACCCGTTGCGGATGTTGCGCAGGATGGAGGTGTCGAACACGCCCTCGCTGCCGCGGTCCAGCGCCAGCCGCGTGTTGAAGTCCCCCGGCGAGCACCGGGACTTGAGCTCCGACAGGAAGCCTGGCGGGATGGTTGGGTCCGAGCCCCGGCCGCCGCCGGGCAGCGGGAAGTTGTACAGCCGGTCCTGGAGGAAGAAGCACGCCGTCGTGCCCACCGTGTGCGCAGCTGCGTCATCATATATGCATGCATATGCGCGTGTTCAGTTCAGTTCGCGCGTCCATCGTGCATGCGTGCAAGAAAAGTGCAGCGAGATGCATGCGGCATGCGTACCGGTGAGGAGGACGAGGTCCTTCTCGTCGAGGCCGTTGGCGCGGAACTTGGAGCGGAGCGCGTCGATGCCGTCGTGCACGTCCGGCAGCGCGTCGGCGTCCCGCAGGTTGGACACCTTCCCGTCGAGCCGCCCCGTCGGCACGTCGAACGACGGCCCGCCGGTCTGCACGCCATCGTCGGTCATCTCGTTCAGAGCTCAGTTATCAATGTGCACATATATAGTGGCAGTGGAAGTACGTACGAAGGCGATGGCGTCTCGGGCGGCGAGGACGACGATGTCGGCGCAGGAGACGACGCCGGGGCACTGGGCCTCGAGCTGCGTCTTGGCGCCCTCGATGATCTCCACACCGCGGAGGCCCTGGTGCTTGCTGTTGTCGACCTCGGCGTTGTTGCTACCGCCCTTGATGAGCACCGACGCGTCGCATCCGCGGACGAAGCAGTCGTGGAACTGGAGGCGGATGAGCGCCGGGAGGATGGTGGGGTCGGCAGACCCGGACTGCCGGACGACGGACGCCACGGTGGACTCGGCGCCGGGGCAGGAGTTGGAGTAGAACCCCACCTGGAGCTGGCCGTTGGAGACGCCGGCGAGCAGCAGCAGCAAGCATGGCAGGGCCAAGCCTGGTGGCAAGTTGCTGCTGCTGCTGCTGCTACTACACCTTCGGGTGGTGGCCATCTTAGAGAGAGCGAGGGAGGTGGTGAGGTGGGTACTAGCAGGAGGGAATGGAGGAGGTGCAAGTCCTGTGAGCTGCGTAAATGAGGTTTTATAGGCCTTTATAGGCTGTTTTGGTGAGGCGGTTGGCGCCTAATGCTGCGGCACATGTGTTGTGCACGGTGCATGATTTGATCTCACCGGTGTATAGCTGGGTTGGTACGTGCCGAACGTCTGGTATATACGGGTACAAAAACTGTCATGCCACCGGTAGATAATATACTTGAGGATGTCTATGTTATATTCATGTGTTTCGTGACCAACTAGCACACGGTTATTAGTTACATGTAAAACACACGATTTCTATGAGAAACAAATTCAGTTGCTTTAGATAACAGTAGCACACGAATTCTACCACCATTAGATTGAAATCCAACTGCCACCATGCTTATTGCATATATTTTATGATAAAATTGCAGCTGCAATTTTCGAATCAGGTTAAAAAAAAACCCGATACACAAAACTATACAAACCTAACGAAATCTAATATATGTTGACACAAAGACAATTAACAAGTAACAATTTTTTCTATAGCTAGATAAAAAATTAATATATATATATATATAGACAAAAATTTATTTTTTGTCCTTGCCTAACTATAGAAAAAAAATTATGATCTGTTAATTATCTTTGTGTATATATATTGACACAAAGATAATTAACATATTATAATTTTTTTCAATAGTTAGGCAAGGACAAAAAATAATATAAATGTTGATATAAAGACAATTAACAAGTCATAATTTTTTCTATAGTTAGACAAGAATAAAAATAAATAATATATTATAAAATGAGACAATCTTTTTCCATAGTCGCTGTTGTCAAGGGGGGAGACGATGAAATGAAATGAGAGAAGACATGCGGAATAGCTTGTCAGCGACAAGGAAAAAAAAGCTAAATCGGTGAGGATCAGACGGTCAACTATGGACAGACCCAGCGATCGGATGATCAGAAAACCGTGTGCCGGGAGAGACAAAAACACACGGTTGTCCTTTAGCATTTCCGATATACTTTCGGTTTTAGGCGGGCTCCGGACTAAAAGAAAGAATTAGTCCCGGTTGAAGCTACCAATTGGGACTAAAGTCCCGTGCCCAACGGCTAGAGCCGCAGGCTTTTGTAGGAGGGGACTTTTAGTCCTGGTCTATGGCTTAAACCGGGACTAAAGGTCATCTTCTACTCCCGGTTGGTGGTTCTAATCGGGACTAAAAGTCCCGCTTCTCTTTTTATTCCAGGTGGTGGCTCCAACCGGTACTTGAGGTGCACCCTTTAGTCCCAATCGGATCCACAAACTGGGACTCAAGTTCCCCACTATATATCCCGGCCGCTTCCTCGGTCCCAGCAACCAGCCCGAGGCAATCCAATTCCAAATTTGCGCGTGTGTTCTTGCTTGGGGGAGCAAGAGCAGTTCTTGCCGGCCACCATCAAGCATCTTCTTCCAACCATTCTTCTAAAGGTTAGCATCTTTTTCCACCCATTCTTATTTTCTAAAGGTTAGCAACTTCATCTTCTAATCTTCTTCCAACCATTATTAAACACTTATAGTTTTCTAGATCTTTGTTAACAACTTAGTTCTTGATGAGAGTTAATAATCGTTAAAAAAAATATGTCCCAACAAGAGTAGGGTTGTCGGGTTTATAAACCCGAGATCCCTCATGGATAGGCTTCCCAGTAGAGGCTCGGCCCACCAGATGACGTTACGAACGACGCGCAACTCCTAGGCTGGCCCAAGTACTTAAACGACAGGCCAGAAGGGTGATCCAATCTCCGACAGGAAGACCTCGCTAAGGAGGAACAACGCTCGTTTTCAACTCCAACCCGCCTCTCCGATCGGAAGGCCTGGCCAAGGAGGAACAACGCTCGCTTCCGACTCCGGCCCACCTCTCCAACCGGGGATGCGTCGAACCCCTGCTTACAGCTCTTCTCCGACTGGCGCAGTCGGAGCCGACTAGGACCAACCAACCGGAGACGCCCACTCGGTAAGGATCAGGAAACGGATGGAGCAAGTAAAGCAGGGCACTCAAGTCAACCGCAATACCGAGGACTGTACCCTGCACACCTGTAGGACAGTAACCGATATGACATGTCAGGAGGGTGCCCTGCAACCATCCAGGCATGCCAGAACCCAAGCAATGTTGTGGATGCCAACATTTGCCCTACAGTGTTGTGGGCGCCATCAACTCCCACACTATGACAAACACGGTAAGGCTCCCCCCACATACCTTTAGGCACCAACAGTGTTGTAGGCGCTGTCATTTGCCCTACATGGAGAACACGGTAAAAACCTCCCACATGCGTGTGACATCGACAGTGTTATGGGCGCCTATAATCATCTTGTACCTGACGACGTGGGCAACAAGACTTAGTAGCATATGTACTCTCTCTCTCTCTCGTTTGTAAGGCCGTCCCCTTCATCTATAAAAGGGAATGCGCTATCTCCCAACAAAGAGACCCCTTAGTTCACTTACATCGATTCACCCTCTGCTAGCTTTAGACACTCTAAAGCTACACAGAGCGCACGCTCGAATACTTAGCACATAGCGAAGCTCCTGTCACTCTCGGTCCTTCAGACTAGAATCCGACCGGACCTCTTGCACCCCCCATCTTTTTTTCTTCCATTTGTAACCCCACAGCAAACTTCGAGCATCTAAGCTCAGGAATAAAGTCACCGACCGACTCAAACTGGACGTAGGACACGTTGTCTGAACCAGTACAAACCCTGTGTCATTGAGTGATAGGCCACATCCGATCACAACGTACAACAAAACTATAAATATTTACGTGTTGGTCACTTTCTGCACTGACAAGGGTGCAAAATGGTTGCAAAATATTTAAGTTTACTTGGCATGCATATGTATATATCTTGATGATTTATTTTTTATATGTTTCTCTAATATATATTGTTGCATGGTATATTTATATGGGGGTTCTATATTTATTGGGATGTTTTTTCAGTTTTGATTAGAAATATGCTGATGAATGGCCAACACTCACTACGGAAGGATTTCAGGAAAAGCTGATTATGACTAAGAGGGTATCATCTGACCCACCGACATCTCGACCACCGCTTACCGTTGTTAGTAGACCATGTGCTCGTACTTTTAAAGCAAGGGAGAGTACACTATTTAATGTGTTGCTCTACGTCAATAATATTCAGCCTATTCGGTTGGCTGGTTCGTATCGTTGCTGGTTCGTGAAGAAGTACTGCTAGCTGGTTTGTGTGAGAGAAAAATACTGTTTCGGCTGGAAATTTACGATCGTTTACGACAAGCCACAGCCAAACGAACAGGCCGATTTGTGGATACAAAATCGGTGACCTATATTTCGCCGAGTACATAATACGACATAGTCAAACTTGGCAGTGATCTACTTGCGCTTGCATGAACTTGGTGTGTAATTGAACTTTAGGGTTGGACATCTAGTTTATTGTAATGACTTGTTTTAAATTATTATGGTTTTGTATGAACTTGATGAATGGGGATGATCATTGTAATATATAAGCTTTTAATTAGTTCCATTCTTATTTATGGACGACGTACAATAGTATAGCATATAATACATGTACGAAAACTATTTAAAATAAAAACAAATTGAATGGAAAGAAACTGCAAAAGAAAAAAAAGAAAAAAAAAGAAAAAGAGTAATATTTAATCCCTGTTGGTTGTACCAACCGGGTCTGGAGGTGTCTGTCCTCGGCTCGTCCTAGAGGCCCCTTTAGTCCGGGTTGGTAAAAGCAACAGGGACTAAAGGGCCCCTATTCCCGGATTGGCAGTCCCGGTTGGAAAATCGGGACTAGAGGGGATTTCCCAACCGGGATTGCTACCCAGCTCACTTGCGTAGCTTCAAATTAATAGTTTTTTATGAGGTTAGCTAAACTTTACACAACATTTTAGACCACATGTTTAGAGCCTAAGACCATGTAATCCAAACAAAGCCTTACATTTGTCAAAAAAAATGAAACTCCTTTATACATAGAAAAGCTTGGAATGGAGGAACACAAATGCGATGATGCTTTTTTACAATATAATGTAAATATATGTATGTGTAAGTTTTTGCTTTTGGAAATTTTATTATACGCGGTCATGCCCAAAATAAGTGCACATCTCTCACTTCCCGGAGTCAAATATTCTCAAGTTTGACAAGATTTTTAAAAAATAACATTAACATTTGTTTCTTTAAATTTGTTTACAATAAAAATATATGATGTGACTGATCTAATGATGTTTGTTTGAGCCCACAAACATTAATACTTTCTTGCATAAATTTGGTCGAATTAAGAATTTGTTGACTTCTCGATGCGAGATGTGCACTTGTTTTGGGACGGAGTGAGTATATACACACACATTTAATTTATTTCGCTTTCTATCAGATTTTCTGACGTCAGAATGTTGCACCAGCTGAATCTACATACTCCCCCGTCTCAAAATTAGTGACGTTTTTTACTTTTATACTTCTTATTTGACTGTTCGTCTTATTCA